TGCCTATGTTTTCAGCCTCACTCCCTGCTGCTCCCATCCCCACCAGTGCTCTGAAGTCCCTGTGGTTCCTCCAACAAGCCATGCACCTCTGACCTCTAGGCCTTCCCACCCACTCCTTTACCCTCTTCAGAAAGGTCTTTTCCGACTCCTCCTGTTCTTGATTCCTCTCCTCACCCCTGTGCCACTGGCCCTCAAGCCTGAGTAAGGAACCCTGCTTCTGATCCTCGCTGATGCTTGTCACAGTTCTGCTCATGCCACTGAGTAAACATAGATCCATCTGCCTTGGCATTTGGTGGTGAGCTCCTTGGGGAAGAAATCTTGCCTTGCTCATCCTGATATATCTAGTAATTAAACAATGCCTAGAATATAATAGGCCCCCAGTAATTGAATCAATAAACTATGACCTAGGAGTGGAGGGAAATGTACTGAAGAAAGACAGAGCCTCCAGAAGAATGATTCTCCAGGTGTGGTCCCTGGACCAGCAGCACCAGCATAACCTGGGTATTTAGGAGAAGTGCAAATTCTTGGTCCCACCCCAGACCTTCTGAGTCAGGAATTCTGGGATAGGACTCAGCAACTCACATTTTGGCAAGCCTCCCAAGTCATCCTGATGCAAGCTAAAGCTTGAGAACCAATGCGGTAGAGATTCCTAGCTGTACTCTCTGTGAAAACAGTAGTAAGCAACATTTTTACTATTTCAGGCACCACACTAATCATTACAGGCATTATCTATCTTATCTAGTTCTCACAGGAACTCCTGAGGCAGGTGACATTATTACTCTTCCCATTTCACAGATACAGAGACTGGGGCTTGAAGGTCTCACAGATGTCAGTGGAGGACCTGGGTGGGGGCCCGGGCAGACTGGCTCCAGGAGGTGGGCTTCCCTGAGGGGCAGGACCTTCAGTGGCCGCAGGGGCAACAGCACCTACCGGAGCACCAGGCCTTAAGTAAGGAGGCCTGGGTGCCTATTCCAGCTCTGTTTCTGCATCACACATGAGGTTGGCCACCTATTTAGCCTCAGGTTTCAGTTACATCTGAAGAAAGTAGGAGACAAATTTTAGATTAACCTGAGTGTAACCGCATGCTTGAAAGTTTCAAGAATTATGCATATATAAGATGTTATTTGTGTATCTCCTTCCCGCATGCTAACACACACCTTGAGAAAGGCACACAGGTAACCCCACTTTCCCCTGGTCCCCGTGAGCACTATCCACAGTCTTCTCACTCCCTCAAGTGGCCACACTGAGATTGCAGCTACTTAGGTCTAAAAAAAATAAGTAAAGGCTGCCCCCTGCTGCCCAAACTGATGAATGACCTCATTCAGCACTAAGCTCTTTTTACCCCCTCTCCCCCTATTCCCTCCCCCCACCCCCCAAAAAAGCTGCATATGACAATGTGACAGAATGGCAAAACTGGGGCAAATCCCATCAGAATTAAAAGAAACTGTGATACCAAGACAGAGTGGTATTATTCTCTGTAAGGTGGTCAGGATGAGGATCCCCAGCTACATGGTCCAAAGGAAACTTACTGAGAGGGTCAATTATTGGTAAGCAAAAGGGGTGAATAAGACAGGAAAATATACGGAAATAGATCAAACTAAGTCATTACAGTGATGAAAGTGTTTCTCGATGTGGAAAGGGAATAAAGACCAGGTCTTACTACAGTTCAACTGATAAAAGCAACCCAAGACCTTTTATTCAGGCTTATGATAGAGTGTGAGATCTACCGCTATCCCTAAGTTAAGTAAGCAGACGGTCTTCCCTTTCTCTTTTTTCCCTAAATTTTTTAAATATATTTTATTGATTTTTTACAGAGAGGAAAGGAGAGGGATAGAAAGTTAGAAACATCGATCAGCTGCCTCCTGCACACTCCCCACCAGGGATGTGCCCGCAACCAAGGTACATGCCCCTGACCGGAATCGAACCTGGGACCCTTGAGTCCGAAGGCTGATGCTCCATCCACCGAGCCAAACTGGCCAGGGCCTTCCCTAAATTTTAAGAGCCACACTATTGCATCCAACTTGTGACACCACCAGGTAGCACTCTCATGTTCTCTACCCTGACACCTGTTTCTTAACATGTCAGGGGACAAGCAGTGGGTCCAACCCTGGCACTGAAATAGAAATATCCAGGGTAATTTGATGCTTGATTGTTTATTTAAGTACAAATTAGTAAAGCCAATCCCAGGATTTTTAATTCAAAAGTACCTGGGACTACTCAGAAATATGCATTTTTCACAAGCTTCCTCAGCAAATTCACAACCATAAAACCATGGGCACTTGTTATTCTCAATTGTTTTGTTATTTCAAATAATGCAAATAGTTTACACAGATTTTTAAATTTGTATTCAATAATATTTAAGGATAAATTTCCATAGGTGGAATTTCTGGGAGAATAAATAGATGCATTTTTGTAATTTGTATAGATATTTTCAAATTGTTCCCCATAGGGTTGTGTCATTTTGCACTCCTATCCACAACCAATACAGTAGTCTCCACTTTATTCATGGACGATACAGTCCAAGACCTCCAGCGGGTGCCTGAGACAGACCATGGACAGTACCAAATCCTATGTATACCATGTTTTGTTCCTATACATATATACCTCCAATAAAGTTTAATTTATAAATTAGGCACAGTAAGATATTGACAATAATAACTAATAATAAAATAAAACACTATTAAGAATATACTATAATAAAAGTTATATGAATGTTGTCTGTCTCTAAATATCTCATTGTACTGTAGTCACCTTTTCACTTAAAGGAAGCACTTTACAGCATGTCTTTGGATATCCAAATTGCTAGCATCAGTACTCTTTTGCTTGGGGCCATTATTAAGTAAAATAAGAGTTATTTGAACACAAGCACTGTGGTACCAAGACAGTCGGTCTGATAACGAAGATGGCTACTAAGTGACTAAGGGGCGGGGAGCATCAACACCATGGAGACACTGGACAAAGGGATGATTCACATAAAGGGAAGGATGGAGCAAGACAGCATGAGATTTCATCATGTACTCAGACAACATGTAATTTAAAATTTAGAAATTGTTTATTTCTGGAATTTTTCATTAATATTTTCAGACCTTGGTTGACCACAGGTAGCTGAAACCTTGGAAAGCAAAACCGTGGATAAGGAGGGAACTACCGTATGTCAAAGTGCATATTTCACCACACGGTGCCAATAGAATATTCTTCCATGATTCAAGTTTGTCAAATTGGTGAAAAGCGACATTTCAATGTAATTTTAGCTTGCATTTACCATTGCAAATGTTTTTCCCTATGGTTAAGCACCATTGGGATCCTATGACTGAGCCATCTGTTCTTTGCCCATTTTATAGGGCTACTGGATTATTTTCTTACTGATTTCTAGGAGTTCATCATATATTGGGGAGATTAGTCCTTCTGATGAGGACTGAAAATGTTTGTCCCCTATTGTCACTTATTTCTTGATTCTGTGTATATTTTTCCATGTAAGTTTGTCATCATTATGTAGTCAAGTTTGTCTTCCCCCTGCCCTTCCTCCCCCCCCCCCCCAGATTTTTAGTCATAGTTTGAAAGGGGATAAAAGGAAGCTCCATTTAGTGAAATGAGATCTAGACCACTCAACTGGAGGTTAATCAAAGTCATCTCATGCAGGAAATCTAAAATATCTACCAACTTAAAATGTATCTACCCTTCAGGGAAGAGGGAGAAGACTGACTGATTATCTGGCCATGATTGTATGTGCCTGAGACTATTTCTCCAGTTCTTCACACCCACTTCCCCAACTCCCTTGACCTCCCTCTGACATCTGAGCTCCACAAACACAGGTGTGGTCTTCCCTCACCCACACCCATTCAGAAATGCGCTGAGCTCACAGCTCTCACTTTGGCCATATCTAGGAAAGTCCAGCCTGGGCAGCTCATGGTCAGTTCTCCTCCAGAACACCCTAGAGGTTCGGAGTGGGGCCAAAGGGACAGAGTCTGGGTGTTAGGGCCTCATTCTCAGATGAAAGGTGTGGTCTCTGAGTGTCACAACCTCAGGGGCAGGCCCAGGGTAGAAAGGGGGTTCCACTTTCTGGCAGGGTGGCTCCCCACTATGACGACAGACTCTGCAAGAGGGGCGGATACCAGGTTAGGGAGAAAACCAGGCCCTGTGGTAGGCAGTCTCAAAAAGACACATGTCTCTGAGGAGCTAAGAATATCCTGAAGAAAGGGTATGGGGTGAGGAGGGAGACCCTTGGCCTGGTTTGGACCTTGCCACCTCACACCATGGGGCAGGGGATGATGCCACTGCCCCCAAACTCCAACACCCTCAAAGGACAGCTGCTCTGGTTGTTTCTTCCTGGCTCTGAGGGGCGGGCCTATGGGAGGGGCGTTTTTGTACAAAGCTGAAACATTGTGGGGACAGGGGGCCACGGTGATTTATCTCTATGGGAAACCTTTACAAAAACCTCTCAGCATGACCCAACCCCATAGTCCCTCCACTTTTCTCTAGGATCACAGGCCCAAGAGTGGCTTGGTTCAGAATACCTCCTCCTCACTCCTGTCTACCTGTCCAGCCAAGGCCAAAGATAAGGACAGGCCTGGATCAGAACTGAAGCTTCCAGGCAGAGAGCCCAGATGTAAGAAGGACACCTCAGTGGGTTTATGGGGGAAGGACTCAGGGAGACTCCTTCATCCCAGGACAAGGTCAGTGGGAAGGTACATGGGAGGTGACCCAATCTATAAAGAAAGAAGATAGATATATCTTGGGTTCTGGGACCCTGCCCTCCTCTCCAGCCCACATACTTTGAGACATTTGATAAAGGGGCATGGGGCCCTCTGGATGGATCTAGCCATGCTCCGTGACCTCAGAAGTCAAAGTTGAATATGTTCTTCTGTTCAGTACCTATAAAGCTTGGATGGGGGGCAGTTAGTTCTCATTCCAGAGTCTTCCAGACACCAGCCAGGGCCCCTCCTCTCCATGCCTCAATTCTGTTTTCTTTCTGGCCCCATGTCACTGTGTGAACACCCAAGTTTTCTTTGGAGAAGGCAGCAGGCTCACGGTTGTAGGTAAGATATGCTCTGGATCTTCCTGGGCCCCTGGTAGGGGATAGTGGGTCCAAAGTGTGCATTTTAGAGTGGTCCTATTCTGATGTGCTAACTATGATGTTACCTTCGGCCCAGGGACCAGGCTGATGGTTGTAGGTAAGGCTGGGTCTCCAGGGGGTTCTGGGGAGGGAGGACTAACCCAGACAACATGGGCAGGAAAAGATGACCTGGCTCCCAGGTCCTGCATCTGTGAACGAGTTCAGAGGAGGGTCCCTGTACGAGAACATTCACTCAGCCACCTGAGGACCCCTGTAATCTCAGAGCTGAGCCTGAGAGGTGGTGCTGCCCCTCTGAGTAGTTACCTGGGAGAGGGAGCCGGGAGAAGGCCAGAGGGTCATAGTGATCTCTGACATTGGTCCATCTTCCCTCGCCAACAAAGGCTCATATTCCCTGCTCTGAATTTCATGGGAGATCTCACTGTGTCTCTTCCCCATGTCACTGGGCTGGCTCTGGAAGGGTATGCAGGGTGTCTGAAGCAGGCTAGGGACTCTATAAGGGAATCCCAGCTGTGCTCAGCAGACAAGAAGGGTTTTGAAATGGATCCGGGAGGCTGTGTTCTGGAAACACCCTCTATTTTGGGGAAGGCAGCCGGCTCACTGTTGTAGGTAAGCAAGTCTAAGCGAGTTGGGGCTGAAGGGCTGGGAGCCTACACGAAGAGGCAGGGACCCAGATGGAGCCTGTCTTGTGAGCTTAGGTAAAAGCATGTTTTCATCGAAAAGATATGAAGTCTTGTCTTGATGCAGACAGGAGGGACCAGGCTCCATCTCCAGTAACCCAATGGACTGTCTGTGCCAAAGTCTGGGTTCCTCTCCCCAGGAGCAAGTAGTCTTAGCCAGGAAGGGCTCACCTTGTCCACCTCCTGAGTCCGTGGAAGGTGCCCCGTCGTGGCCAAGGTAGATGGAGAGCCTCTGGAGGTAAAGTTGCTGTAGTCCCACTGTTTGTCTCTCACATAGAAGGGGATGGACGCAGGGGGGGGGATCTCACAGGGTTGAATGGGTCCTCTTACCACAGCATTTCTGGTGGCAGAGTTGTCCCCCCTCCACCTCCCAGAGCTAAAATTCTGCTGAGAAAAGGGAAGGAGAGCTGGCAGGTGAACTTGAGGAGGAGGAATGTGAGGCCTCAAGGACAGTTTTCTTACCAGGCTTTAGTGTTGTGTAAGTAACGAGAAGCTATTTTTCGGCAGTGGAACCAAGCTCTCTGTCTTGGGTAAGTAAAAGGCTTCCCTGGGGAGAGCATGTTGTAAGGTGGGAGTTTCAGGAGGATGCCTTGGAGAGGACAGGGACTGAGAACACAGCAGGGAACAGGCTCCGAGAATGTGGGTGAGTGGACTAGAGTCCTGGGAGTTCTGGGTGGACTGAGCTTCTGGAAGGAAGGGCCCCACACCTGTGGTTCTGGGGTTTTTTACACTCCTGTGGTACTGTGAGCAACCAGGCACAGCATTTTGGAGATGGGACTCGACTCTCTGTCCTAGGTAAGGTACCGGACCGAAGTGGTGGGGCCACTGTCCCTTAGACCTGACTTTGTCTTTGCTCTCAGCCCTGGTGGAAGGGGACTGAGGGAACTCTTCTATCCTGGAGGGGAGTTTCAGTCTTCAGTGCTAATCTGCCTCCTTACCCGTCTCCTGGTTCATCCTCCTTCTTACATTGGTGGATATGCCCCACCGGAGCCTCTTGGTATTCCTCTCCCCATTCTATGCTTGCGTCTTCCTCCTAATAGACTCTCTTGGGTCCAGAGCCATGAACCCAGGCAAGGAAAGGTGGCTTCTGGCTCCCAGGGAGCTAAGACTAGCCCTCTGGCGGGAGACCACTGGTAGGTTTTGCCACAGCTCTCTGCTGTTGTGTTCCTATAACTCGCCCCTCTACTTTGGCGTCGGCACCAGGCTCACTGTGACAGGTATGGGGTCCTGCTCCAGACTGGGGGGTGCTTGTGCTGGACCATGATGATCAGTCGCTGGGAGGGGAGTGTGGAGTAAGGACAGGATCAGAGCTGCCCTCCTTCCTGGAACTCAGGGCCTTCTCCACCCTGCCTGAAGCCTCCTCCTTGCTCCACTGTGTTTGTGCGCCATCTCAGCGGTGGGTTCCACGCTTAGTCTTCAGGTTCTGTGTTTGCTTTCTCCTCTTCCCATTGTTCTCCAGACTCCTCTCATCTCTACTTTTTTATTACTATGTTGTTTTACTTTCCCTTTCTTTTCTGATCTTCTTCATTTTCCCTCCCATTCTAACTTCAGCCCTGCACTGTTCACTCCGTCCCTGTCTTGACTTCTCCAAAGATCCCTGTGTGTCTTTCTGGGTGGTTTGAGGGCTCAGGAGGCAGTGAGGGACCAGATGGGTGAGGTTGGGATGGTTTGAGAGGTGATCCTGAGTCCCAAAGGCAGAAGTCCATGTCACAGCATTGTAAGAACTGCAGGGGAGTCTCTGGGGGACATTGTGTTTGGTGGGGATTAGAGGAGGTATGTCAAAATTAACTATTACAATGGGAAGCTTATACCATCTTCCAACAGACCAGGTATAAAGAAGAGAAATAGGTAGGAGGACTCATTTTCTCAAACCTCCGGGTCTGTGCTGGGATTACAGGCTAAGGGACCTGTACTTGAGAGGAAGCAGACAATCGGGAGAAGAGGGGCAAAGATGGATGGGTCTCGGCTGGAGATACAGACAGGGCTGGAGGAAGGGGGCAGGTTGGTTGGCTGAATCAGGCTTTGTTCCACAGATGGGGGCACAATGTCAGGAAGTGCAATGGAATTGGGGTCGGCACCAGGCTCACCGTGGGATTCACAATGCCTGGGTTCAGGGGCAGGGAGCTCATGAAATTAGAAAGTGAGAGATATAAACAGAGTTAGCAATGCCAGCCTCTTGGAGTCCTTCAACTGTACGGGGTTAAGTTATGTGAAAATCCTTTGTAAAGGACTCACCTCTGGGCACCATCCTTCTCATTCCCATTGTTCATCATCACTGTGTCACAGTTTGCCCTTTTCCAAACCTGTGTCTCAACTTTCCCATCAGAAGCATGTCCCAAATTTGGATAAAGTGGAGATATTTGGATTTGCCACATTTCTACTCCAAAAACTGTATTTGTGGTCAAAACAGAACCAAATACGGGGAGCAGAAAAGTCTGACAAAAAGGAGGGTGCTTGAAAGATGGCTGTGGTGTCTTCCATCCCTCTGTGTCTTCAGTTGGGAAAATGCCTTCAAACAATTCAAGAAATCCGTTCTCTCCCATCTGTCAGACTGTAAAAAGGCCCAGGGGTTTACAATATGGAGCCTCTGATGAAATGGCCTTCAGACATTGGGAGCTTTTTCCTACCCAGCAACCAAGGTCTCAGTGCTTTTAAGAATGCAAAGGTTGGCTGTGAAATAGGTTTCCAACCCTGGCAGGGAGGCTTGCTGGGCACTGGCAGGAAGAAAGGGCTCAACCCGTGGGGAGTATCTCTCATGAGATGACAGGCATCCCAGGCAAGCTACCATGAACCCCGTGTGTCCCCGCCTGGGAGGAAATGTGGAACAGCTGAGAAGATAATAGCCAGGGGCACCTTGGAAAGTTACACAGTAAAAAATAAAGAAGAGAAAAAAATTTGAGTTGGGTATAGTATATAGAAAAAATATATAGTCAGATGTAATGAGAAAGGTGTCTCTTCTAGGTAAGAAAGACTAATTCTTATATGTGCTATCATACAGACAAACATATACACCTTACAAAACAGGACAATGCTAATTAGAAAAAGTCAGTTTAGCTCCCAGGGTTATGTTGCTAGTGAGAATCTTCTGCCTTAACATCCAGGCCCATTCAACTCTGCTATAACCACTTCTAAATCTCAAAGATTACATCGAGCACCAAAGAGGGCTTTGAACAAGGAAGAAAAGATAAGACAGATATACTCGTCTGATAGGTAATTGAGCAAGGCCTGAGTGTGAGACTTTGAAAAAAAATCCAAGAAAATTGGGACAGAAGGGGGTGCCCCCTTAGGGAGGTGGAAAAGATAGTCGCTCCATGGGGTGACTAAGAAGGAGATGGGAAAGTCAAGGAAAAATGACAATAGAGAATGGGACCTATAAACAAACGGGATCTAATACATAATGTTGCTTTATGTTGACCCCCTTCCGCAGGCCCACATAAAATACACACAGCCCCTACCAAACCTAGACAGCTCTCAGACCAGCCCTATTCCTAACCCCTCTCCCCTTCCAGAGGACCTGAACAAGGTGAAACCTCCCACAGTCACTGTGTTTGAACCATCCGAAGCAGAGATCGCCCGGACACAGAAGGCCACGCTTGTGTGCCTGGCCACAGGCTTCTACCCCGACCACGTGGAGCTGAGCTGGTGGGTGAATGGGAAGCAGATCCGGAGTGGGGTCAGCACAGACCCTCAGCCCTACAAGGAGCAGAGCAACCTCAGTGACTCCACCTACTGTCTGAGCAGCCGGCTGAGGGTCTCTGCCACCTTCTGGCACAATCCTCGCAACCACTTCCGCTGCCAAGTCCAGTTCTTTGGGCTAGAGGAAGAAGACAGGAAGAATTGGGAGGACCCCCGCCCCCTACCCATCACCCAGAATGTCAGCGCTGAGGTCTGGGGCAGAGCAGGTGAGTGGAGCCTTGGAGGGTCAGGCAAGAAGGCGCCAGACCAGAGAGAAAGGGGGATCCAGGTAGAAGGCCACAAACACCAGGTTAGACAATTTTTTAGAAAAAGGAGTGGGATGGGAAGATGAGAGAACACCATGAAGAAGAACAGGCACCTTGGGCTAGTTCCTCCTCAGATCCCCAGCCAGCACAGCCTTGCAGCTGGGCCCCTTACTACTGGCCTGGGTGGCTCAGCATCTGTGTGGTGTGTCCCCATCCCCTTCAGAGGTGCCACGTGTGTCTCATGAATTTCAAGGATGATGTGTCTATACTGGCACACAGGAAGGCAGTGCTAGACTCCTCTGGTCTGGGCCTGAAGTGTGCTGACCACAAGGCTGACAGTGTTTGATCTGCTCATCCACTTCCCTCCTTCTTCTTTCTTTCAGATTGTGGCTTCACCTCAGGTAAGTGACCCTCTGCTTCTTTCTCTCCTTCTCCCATGGTCTTTGGAACCAGAGGATGAAGGACCCATGGACCCTGGGGAGGGGCAGAGATACCTGCTTAAAAGTGCACACCTGCTCTCATTTCCTACCAACAGTGTCCTACCAGCAAGGGGTCCTGTCTGCCACCATCCTCTATGAGATACTGCTGGGGAAGGCCACTGTGTATGCGGTGCTGGTCAGCACCTTGGTGCTGATGGCCATGGTAAGGAGGAGGGTAGGGTGGGCAGGCAGGTTGGAGGTGACACTCGAAACATAGCAACTCAGATCCAGGACCAGAGGTGGGAGGAGAGGACGAGGGGTTTTACTCACATTTCTTAGAAGATGCCTTACTTAGGATACCTCCAGAACCACAGTGGAAGAGATGTGAGGGAAAGAGAAACTGGGTCACCTGAAACCTAGTTATGAGGAGCCCTGTTCATCTAGTCAATGGGCCATCCTGCTTCCTCTAAGTCCCCAACACTCCAGGTAACTCCAAAACCTTCTTCTCCGCTTCAGGTCAAGAGAAAGAATTCCTGACACCAGCTCAGAGGTGCAGCCAGGAACTTCCAGCCTGTTATCTCCCCACTATGGATTCCCCTTTTTCCATTCCTAGCCAGTGCTTCTGAAGAGCTGTCTCAATCTCTCAATTCATCCTGATATCCACCCGCTATATACTGCACAGCTGAACACTCATGACTAAAATCTCCCTAACCCCAGGGGACCCTGGTGTGCCTACATTGACTGAACCAATAAAAATGGCCTGTTCTGGCTTGATTCTGCCTTGAGTGTCTACATATCTCTTTTTTCCATCTCTAAACTCTCATGGACTCCAGTTAGGATAGAAACAAGAGGTAGTCAAGGAATGTGCAGTCCCCTCAGGTACCAGGGACCCAGCCTGTGACTGGCACTGCTCCTTCTGTGGGGAACTTAAGAAATGTGAAAAGTGGTGATGGGACGTGAAGAGGCTTACTCCCAAACAGCCTAGAAAAATGGTGATGCTGACCATAGGAATCTTCTGACCTACCTGGACAAAGGTGCTCTGTGGAAGAGCTGACCTACATAGGTGTGTCAACCCGCCAACTGGTTATGTCCCCCTGGCTAACAAAGCCTGGTTTATATATGGCATTCCTGTCCCTGTCAGCTGTCTCACTGCATTCCTGTCCCTGTCAGCTGTCTCACTGAGCACATTTCTCCTCTCCATTCATCACCAACCAGGTTTCTCAGCTGGGAGAAAAATGCACTGACCTGGAGATTTATCCTCAGCAGCTGTGTCTTTAGTTTTTTAAGTTACAAATCAGTTTATCTATTTCTCTCTAGTGAACTAACAGTTGTGAAGATGCCCCTGGATCATGCCCAGAAGGATAGAAAATAAAGTTGCTATTTCTAGAAATCCTACAAAAGTTCTTTGTTGTCTTATTGTCACCATGATCATGTAGTCCAAAATTCTTAGGATGGCATGAAAGACCCACAATTGTCCTCCACCTTCTTATTCCACACTCACCTCACTCCTCTCATCACCAAACCGTCTGAGCAATTTGCTTCCAGGCCATTTTGCACTCCTCTACCTGGAATGACTGAGTACTCATGACTCCTACTAACTTAAAGATTTGGCTCAGTATCTTCCCTCAAGAGGCCTTCTCTGGAGCTCCTTGCCCCTTATTCTCTTAAGGTTGGGTTGAATGCACCCTATATTTTGCTATCATTGTGTGTTGTGCACACCTCCTTCCTGACACCACATTTGATGGAAACTACCTCTTCACTTGTCTGACAGCCCCATTTGATGGTCAGCTCCTGATAACAAGGCTGTGTTTTACTACAGCATCCCTGGGATATGGCATAGTACCCTAGTTCAGTGTAGAAACCCAATAAATTATCTTTGAATAAGTGAATGAATAAATGAGTGAGCCCAAAGTGACCCAATTTGGGAGCCAGTATTACAACAAGCCTGCCTGAAATAGCCACATACCCTGCCATCTACAGAACTACAGAACACAGCCTTCCCTCTCCATTGTAACACATGCACATGTTCAAATGTGTGTGCACATATA